GTGGAAGTAAAAATTAGGGACCCTTTATGCTTTACCAAAAAAAAAAAAAAGTCATTATATAAAACTGAATGGAACTTAAGACCTTCTCTTCAGCAAAACAAAAGCACCTGTCATTGAGATAAAAAAGAATCCACTTTTGCTGCCGGCAATTTTTTTCATTAGCTGTCAGGAACATGAGTCAGAGTTTCTGTAATCACCTTTCTTTTTTGTGAAGTACAATGTAGATAGTACATTTCAAAAGCATGCATTTTATTTTTAATTCTTTGGCTACAGTAGAATTTTTACATTGTTGTATGATCAGTTCTTCTTGTAATTACCACGTAAGTTTATTCCACCATGTATAGGCCAGCTTAATGGATTCTTTTTCTTTTTTGGGGGGAGGGGGTGGGAGAGGTTTTTGCTATAGGGCGCATGCACTCACCAGAAAGACAGAGACAGACAGAGAGACAGAAAGTGAGAAATCACCCCTCGAGGGGATGGCCACACTGTAATCCCTTCTCCTCTATTCTCCTCTCTGGATCTTGGGCACGCACACACGTGCCCGGCGTGACTGGGACTTGAACCGCGATCGACTACATGGGAGTCCAGTGACATAGCCATTACGTTAACTGCTGGTCCCTTAGCGTAGTGGATCATTTTAAGAAAAAAAGAGTTACTACTTTTTTTCTTGGAAGCAAATTTTTCTTGATATGTTCATAAAATGAAAGTCTAGGCCAGCTGGTGGCATGGTAGTTAAGGGGACTGAATCCCACGTGGCCAACTATGTGGTTCAAGTGTGGTTTCTCAGCACTGCTGTCTGAAAACTGCAGCAGGCATGTGTGTGCACACCCAAAATTCCAAGAGAAGAATGGGGGAGAAGGGATTATGGCATGACCATCCCTCCTAGGGAGTGCTTTCTCACTTTCTTTCTCTCTCTGGCAAGTGCACACATCCTGTAGCAAAATTTTTTAAGTCTGCAAGGCATCAAATATTCTGAGGAAAATTCACTAGGGTGGAAATGCTCGAATCTGCATTTTCAGAAATTGCCGTGATGATGATGGTATTGACTAGGTTGCTCATACTGACTTTTCCTTTCCTTTATTAAAAATAAGTAACCATAGCAAATAGGGAGGGGGGACACATTTTTTTTTATAGCACTTTTTGCATATGAGAGACTGAGGTGCAAAGAGTTTTAGGGGTAAGACAGTGGCACAAAGGTTATCCACATGGGAAGGCCCTGGATTCATGTCCTGAGGTCTCTTGTACATGGAGTGCCTGTGCATGTCTGTGAGCTGGGCTGGCTGAGATTTGGCGGTGAACGACTTGAAGACTCTATTGGGAGTGACTGCCTCTCCCATGAAAGAAAGGAAGGAAAGAAGGAAGGGAGAAAAAGTAAAGGAGTTTCAGTGTCATATAATGAGCCAATGAAAGAGAATGGTTGCACAGAAGGCTACTGACAGTATTAAAGTCGCAACGCTGGGAGATGAGACGCAAGTCCTAGAAAGCTACCTCTGGTGAGAGCATGGAGAATGTAACGGGGTGGGAGAGGCAGCCTGGGGAGCAGCTGGGAGGACACTACAATGGTCCAGGTGGGAGATGTGGGCGGCTTGGACAAGAACGGTGGTGATGAGATGAAGAAGGCCAGAACAAAAGCAATAAATACTAGGCAATAGGATTTGGTGATGTTTACAAGGGCTACGGGAAATGAACGTACTAAGGATGGTGTCTCGTTCCATCTGGGGCAGATGGTGGAATATTGGTAATATTTACCAACATAAGGAACATGGAAGAGTGGGTTTGAGAAATGGGAAGGTATAGGAGGAGGGTATACGAAGTGTATCAGAGCTTTTTTTTTTTTTTTTTTGGAGAGATTTTCACTGTAGGGCGCGTGCGCTCGCCAGACAGACAGAGAGATACAGAGAGACAGAAAGCGAGAAATCACCCCCCAGGGGGGATGGTCACGCCGCAATCCCTTCTCCTCCGTCACGCCGCAATCTCTTCTCCTCCATTCTCCTCTTGGGATCTTGGGCACGCACGCACACGCGCCCAGCGTGAGTTTTAAGCCACCTGGTCCGGGACACGAACCGCGGTCGACTATGTGGGAGTCCAGCGACATAGCCATTACGCTAACTGCTGGTTCCCAAGTGTATCAGAGCTTTTGACAGGCAGATGCCTGTAGGCCATGAGGCTCAGGAGACAAGGGGGAGTGGGAGGCAAAGATCTTGGGGTTCATGGTGTAAAGCTGCTCATTGAAGTCATAGGCTGAGAAACTCTATCCATAGAGATAAAGCAAAGTCTAGGAGAAAATTTGGGGAGCATCACTCTATAAGCTGGCTACAAAGTCTATTTGGAAATAGCTAAAAAGGGAAGGAAAGGAAAAACAGGTATTACAAAAGTGAAGGAGGGGAACCAGCAGTTAGCGTAATGGCTATGTCGCTTGATTCCCATGTAGTTGCCCGCGGTTCACGTCCCAGACTCAGTGGCTTAAAACTCACGCCGGGCGCGTGTGCGTGCGTGCCCAAGATCCCGAGAGGAGAATGGAGGAGAAGGGATTGTGGCATGGCCATCCCTCTGGGGGGGTGATTTCTCGCTTTCTGTCTCTCTCTGTCTGTCTGGCGAGCGCAAGCGCCCTATAGTGAAAACCTCTCCAAAAAAAAAAAAGGAAGGAAAAAAGTGAAGGAGAAAGTGTGTCTTAAGAGGAGAAAATAAGGTGTCTCTTCAGAATGCGGCAACAGATTTCTGAAAGTAAATGTCTTCCATTTCATAAGTGCCATAGCTTGCCAAGAGACATTTGAAATTCAGATTCTCCATCCAAGTGATTACCATTGCTTATGGCTTTCAAGCTGTTTTTTTTTTTTTTTTTTTTTAAATAAATTTTTGCTTTAGGACGCAGGTGATCGCCAGAGAGACAAAGACAAAAAGCGAGAAATCACTCCCTGGGGGGATGGCCACGCCACAATCCCTTCTCCTCCATTCTTCGCTTGGGATCTTGGGCATGCACGCACACGCGCCTGGCGTGAGTTTAAGCCATTGGGTCCGGGACGCGAACCACGGTCGACTACATGGGAGTCCAGAGACATAGCCATTACACTAACTGCTGGTCCCCCCCATGTGAGTTTTAAGCCATGGATCCAGGACTTGAACTGCTGTCAACAATATGAAAGTTCAGTGATGTGACCATTACACCATGTGCTGGTCTGTACAAACTGCTTTAACTGTGATCCATTGAAAGAACTATATTTTCAGGGCCAAGAGGTTGTGCCATGGTAATGCAACTGACCCTCATGGGAAAGGTCCTGGGATTGTGTCCTGGGACCTCTCTGAGCATGTCAGGCACACATGCACGCCCATGATCCAGGCTGGCTGAGACAGTGATGGGAGAGCGTGAATTGTGGTAAGAAGACCCTGTTGGGGATGCTTGTATCTCTCACTGTCTGTCTCATAAACAAACAAACAAATAAATAAATGCTAAAAATACCACATATTTTTCACTGTGACCCAGCTCACAAAACATACATACATCTAACATACTTTAAAAAAAAGATTCTACAAGATAAAATCCAAATTTTACATGCTATGTAAGGATAATGTTACACTTACTTTCTATCCCATGTTACTCCATATTATTCCATTCTATTCCTTTCCATCAAAAATAAGGCTAGTAGGAGCCAGCCCATAGTGTGGTAGTTAGGGTAGGTAGATCCTACCAGCCAACCACGTACTTTGAATCCTGGACCTGGAGGTTGAGAAACACATTGGGCACACGTGCATGTGTACCCAAAATTCTGAAATGGAGACAATACTGTGGCATGGCCGTGCCCCAGAAGAGCTGCTTTCTCCCTCTCTCTCCCTCTCTCTGTCTCTGTCTGTCTCTTTTTGGTTAGTTACTGGAAGATGGTGGTTCCATCCAGAATGCTTAATATAATATTTTTATTTTCTAACTTTCTCTAAGCTCTGCACACTTGCTTTTTTTAAAAAAAGAAGTTCTCGCTTTTGTCTTAAAAATCTCTTCTTTCACTGCTTTGTCTCTTTGAGCTTTACTTTTTATCATGTTACCTTTAGAGTCATGTTCACAAATTCTGTAACTATAGTAAGTTTAGAAATTTGGGGATGATGGATTGTCTTGTTTACTCAGCCACCAAATAATATTTTGACCAACTTTTTTTCTTCACATAAATAACGTCCCCTTGCCTGAGCACCCAATGCTTCTGTCTCCATGAAGCATTTTCTAATTTAACAAAACATTATTAGAAAATTTAAAATATCCAAAACTTTTTTGTTTTCCAAACACTTATTTCATACCATAAATGGTTTATTTTTGCACAATTAACAGGAGTCTGGCATTTGTGTTTATAAATTAAAAAAAGGAAGAGCACCAACTTACATAAAATATTGCACGGTGTAAGTGACGTCAACTCCTTGTAGACTTTCCGGTGGATTCCATTGTAGGACATTCTTCATGTTTATAGATAAGAAGGTGAGATTGGTAGGTTTAGGCAAACCACCAGAGACACAGGGAGCTGAAAACAAAGGTAGAAAGAAATTGAGATTTTAGTAGAGGGAAAGAAAAATATAATCCTGGTAAGTAGCTGTTCTCCAAAGACAGATGCCAATGAACCATGCCCTCAGTACTCACGCCCTATAAATGTACTCACAGTAGAATATGGCAGAAGTGATTGAGACTCAGCCTTAAGAAGGCCTGTGAGCTGCCGCTTCGGCCTGTTTGAAAGCCCTGTGTTGCCATGCAAAATAATAGCTAATCTGCTGGAGAGACCATGTCAAGAGGTCATGTGAAGAAGGAGAGGCTCAATTGTCCCATGTCCCAGCCGAGCCCAGCCTTCCCACCAAAGGGACAAAACGAAGTTGTTGTGGTTATTCCAGCCCCATCTGTGATAGGTTGAAGTTGCATAAAAATCCGACTAAGACCAGTAGAAGAACCATCCAGCTGAACTCTAGTTAACCCTTAGGATTATGAGAAATAATGAAATGATTGTCTTAAATCACTAAGTTGTGGGGTAGTTAGTTATAAACCAGTAGATAATCAAAACAAGCTTTTTATTAGACATAGAGATAAAATTCAGAATAGCTTATCTTGAAAGGCCAGAGTTTTGGAAGCTGAAGTTGGGGGTTGGCTTTACAAAAAATATTTAATAAAGCAATAATAAGAGAAGAAGACAGTGAAAGAAGGCAATTTATTTAATTAAACACTGATTTGTTCCCATAACTGCTGCTTAAGAAAAGCTATATCCTAGAGGATTAATTTGTAGAAATTCTCTGTAGACAAATGATTAAGAATTGAGAAACTACCAAAAAATTAGAAAAGACAAGTTGAAGTTACTTTCTTATAAAAGAAAACAAGGATGATTCTTCTCAAATTAAACTAAATGAAAAATTCAGTGGTAACATGTAGGAATCAAAATGTTAATTAAAATTATTAGCAAGATCACAAAGTCCTGAATAATAATCAGATTTTATTTAAAAAACTTATCTAACCATAATTATGCATATTCTAGCCAATGGACTTGGATAATATCTAATTTTGATACTGCAAGTCAAACTTAGGAAATAAAATTTAGCTCAGTCACTCAAGGCTGGTTCAAGCTTGTCTAAGTTGAATAATTCTTGTGTAAATTAGCTGGGACTAATGTCAGAGAAAGGAATTGGCTTCACGCTTAGGATAATCTTTGGCTAAGATAAACTCTCTATGATGTATTATATTTCCACAAGCCAAATGAAAAGAAAGACAAAATTCTTTACTTTAGAATTAAACTTTGCAATATGATCTTGATTTGAAGCATAATAAGCTCTAACACTTAGGTGGTTGAGTGTGCTTGTATGTACGTGTGTTATATTTGTGATGGCTCCTACTTTTAACCTTGATCATTTAAAAAAATGCCTTCTTGTTTTTAAGAAGAAAGTTAAATTCTCAAATAGAAGCATTATTAACTTCAGACAGTATGTGTATGTGTGTAGCAGGGGGAGGAAGAACCTCAAAAGGACTGGCCTATCCGACATCTGTCTTCGATTTCTATTCTTCTAACTCTTTGAAACCATCATGTATCAGCTGATATTGGAATTTTCTGGAGATTAAATACACTGGATCCAGATCAATAATTTAATACTGCTGTGTATTGTTACTAGATCCTAAATTTTAATTACATTTTTAAAGATGAGACACAAAGCATGAGGAAGCTGCACCACTGAGTATAATATTTCCTAACTCTTCGAAAATGAGGAACAGGCCTGGACATGGTGGTGCAGTGGCAGTGCAATGCTACGAGATGCTGCAGCCATAAGGAAGATCAAGGTTCAGTTCCTGGGTCAGCTTGTACATACCAGGTTTACATGTGTATACATGTGATCCTGGCTGACTGGGAAGGCTGGAGAAAGGATTACAATGTGAGATCCTATTGAAGATGCCTATATTTCTCGTTCTGCCTCTTTGTCAAGATAGAAAGAAAAAAATAAAGAAAGGAAGAGAAAAGAAAGAAGAAAAGAAGGAAGAAACGAGGAACACTTAAAAAAATTTGCTAGAGGGAGCTTGTGCTTGCTGGAGAGAGACAGAGAAAGAACAAGAAGGTGCCCCTCATATAGGGCTGGCTACCCTACAATCTCTTCTCCATTTCTCCTCTTGGGATTTTGACCACGCATGCACATATGTCCAGTGTGTTTTTCAAGCCACTGGGTCTGGGACTTGAACTATGTGGTCAAGTCACGTGGGGTCCAGTTGCCTTAGCCAATTTCCAAGGATCACTTTAGATCTAAAATATGCGGTTTTACATTTTTAGATGACACTAACATGTGAAGAATGGTTAGCATCTTATACAAAAAAATTAAAACATTAGGTTGCCAGGAAAGTCATGATGTATTTTTCTGTTTTTCTATGCAAAAATGCATCATGACTTTCCTGACAACCCAACAGATTGTGCACCAGACTATCAGTGATACAAGACATTGCCCAAATGTGGGTTTATAGGGCTAACTGATAAGGAAACAAAATATTTTTGTTTGTGGCAACATGAAAACACAAGTTATACTAGGTATTATAGCCCAAGCATATTTTCTCAATGTTCAATCTATACAAATCTATTGTTTACAACATTGATTTCAATTTGTCTTATTATAAGGAAACAATTGACAAACTCTCAAGATGCCTATAACATACCCCGAAAAAAGTTTTAAGAAATAACTTGGAATAAAAGATATGGATTGCTCATTTTAATGTAATTTAATTTAATTTGGTTTTGGTTACTGGCATGAGGAAATAATGCAATTTTGTTCCTCTGAAATAAACTATATGCTAGAACATGCTGTCAATCATTGATTCAATAGACATTTTGATTGATGCTTTGCAATTGTTTAAATGGAGCTTCACAAATACTATGTTAATTATCAAAATGTCACCAAACTCTAGTAATAACAGTCTAAAGAGAACAAATATTGTGGCAACAATTACATTATGACATTAAACAACTTGCTTATCATGGTATTCTACTTTTTGAAAAGAAAATATATTTCACTATAAGTTCTATTACCTGTGTATATGCATGCCTCTTCTGTAAGTTTATATTGTGGGCAAAAATATCTATATCATCACAACTGGGGTAGCCAGCCTCCAAATTGGCCTCCCATCCCTTCTTCCTGGGATGCACAGCCTGTATAGTTCCTCTTGCCTTGCTCCTGTGTTGGCGTGTGACTAATAAAATATAGCAGAAGTGATGGTAAACACTCCCACAACCAGGTTCTAACAGGCACTGTAACTTCTATCTTGTTTCCCTTCTCTTGTTCTGGGTCAAGCCTGTGGCCTTGCTGCGCACAGTCCTATGAAGAGGCTTCCAATAGCTGGTGAAGAGCTGAATGAAGCCTCCTTTCAAGAGGCTTGTTAGTGAGCATAGCAGTGGATCCTCTGGCCCCAGGTGAGCTTTCAGAAACCTGCAGCCCCAGCTACTCACTTGTGAGAGACCCTGAACCAGACTACTAGGCTAATTCCTTCTGGGCGTTTGACTCTTAAAAACTCGGTGAGGTAAGATGCATTGTTTTAAGCTGCTAAATTTGAGGCTGAATAAAGCTTCGTTCAAGAGGCTTGTTAGTGAGCATAGAAGTGGATTCTCTGGCCCAAGCTGAGCTTTCAGATGACTACAACCCCAGCCTGCCTCTTGACTTCTCATTGTTAGAGACCTTGAGTCAGACTACTAGGATAACTCTTCTGGGCTCCTCACTCCTAGAAACTCTAGGAGATAAGATGCATTGTTTTAAGCTGCTAAGTTTGAGGTAAGTTGTTACACGGCAATAGGGAACTAATGGAACATGGAATCTAAAAAATGCAAGAAACTATGAGACTAATCAGGTTTTTTTTTTTTTAAGCAAATTAAATAGAAGGAACTAAAAACCAAGCCTCTCTATTTCCCATTTCATAAATGATTTCTGCATTTAAAATTTTTTTCTATAGAGCATATGTGCTCACAAGAGAGAGAGAGAGAGAGAGAGAGAGAGAGAGAGGAAGTGAAAGCACCTCTCAGGAGAGAGAGAGAGAGAGAGAGAGATAGGAAGTGAAAGCACCTCTCAGGGGGATGGCCATGCAAAAATCTCCTCTCTTTGTTTCTCCTCCTGGTACTTTGGGCATGCATGCATATGTGCCCTGCATGTCCCTTAAGCTGCTCGGTCCAGGGTTCACAATCGGCCATGTGGGTCCAGCCACCCCAAATACCATACCATCAGCTGGTACAGTGATTCCTATTTTAACAGTCTTGAAAAAAATTCTTAATAGTCAATTTTATCTTTATGAAGAAAATTAAAAATCCAGCGAGACCAGAAACTTATCATTCCTTTAGTAACTAGTAAGGATCATAGCAACTATTGTTTAGATTTGTTTTAAAGGATAAATGCTTAAACTCATTATAAATACACCGACAAGGTTTTTGAGTAGCAAACACCTTTAATAGAAATCTATTTAAAAAATTGATGTTACTATTTCGTATACTATTTATGGGAAGAGAATAGTATAGCTTTCAGCTCTGTAGATCTTTCGTTTTTTTGATTACATAAAGAAACGGCCTCAGTTTGGGACCATTCTCTTATTGATAAATTAAAGTACTATCCAGTGGCAGCCCTATCATGAGGAAAGTAGGTCACATCTTGGTATCAGCCTATCACTAAATCTCTCCAGGACACAAAATATTCCTCGTTATGACATAGTCTGCTGGTTTCTAAACCATTTTTATCAGACCAATTTAAGCCATGTTAATCATCTTCATGATATCACAGCCATCTTGTCTCTCTGCCCATAGAAATTTTATTTTCAGAAATACATAGTTATCAATTGTTGTGGATTGTTTGTAATTTGTTTGTATCAGTTATGGTTTTTGTAAATTATGGAATTTTAATAATTTGTCTTTGATTAATGGAAATAGGTGGGTCTTACTACAGTGAGGTTTGATCTTTCTGCAAAGAAAACTTGTTATTCTTTGACATGGACTGCTTCCTCTCTTAGATTGACTCTGGTTTCAGAAGGACACTAGAG